ACTCAAGTCAGAGTCGAAACGTCTGTGTAAAACTAGTTACCTGATTTTATTAAATATATTTTTTGCTACCACCTAAGTATTTTGGCTCGATTGGATCTTAGTTTCTTATTTATATTCAGACATTTAAATTTACCGCTTTTTGGTCAAAAGGCGGAGCTAAAACCTAACCAATGTTTACTTCATCGCTTTAACATTGCGGAGATACGGAAAGGGGCGGGAACTAGCAGTCCAGGTTTATATAGTCAAAGGACGTTACGCACACGGACGGCGGTTCTTGCTTGTGTGCGTGCCTCCACCACTTCGGTGCTCTTGGTGCTGGCCGGCCCGATTTATCATCACTGATTGGGACGTTTTGATCAAGTTTATTTGAGATCATCCATCAGCCAAAACTGTAAAGTATAAAGGAAAATTGAAAGGTGTATATGCAAAAAATTTTGTAGTTAACAGACAAAGAAGTTGCGAAACATTAATGTTTAAAGAATTATTTAAAAAACAAATATCAAAATATGCACTAATGAAAACGAATTTTTAAAATTGAAGTAAGTCTTCAAATTAATAACAAAAGTGCAATAAAATTACAATAGCATCTCTCGTTATAAAACAATTACAATAATAAGACAAAGTTTAGCGTACCTTATTCAAAAGAAGTGATTAAGTGTCAACAGTCATGTCAAGTCAAGAAGGGTCACACAAACAAAGTGAGACAAGCAAACGAATGTTCGTGATAGTTTTAAATGAAACGGTCAGAAAGACAATGTTTTTTTAAAATTTTAAGTCAAACTAAATTAAATAAATAATTAAAATTAAGTTAACAGGTTAGTTACAAAAGAATAGTCGATAAATGTCAGATTAAATAAATAAAAAAATTGATAAAAAATTAAATGATAAATTAAAGTCGTTATTATTAAAACACTCACATTCAGCTGCCAAACTAAAAAAACTTTCCAACTCCTCTCAGACTGCCGACATACAATCACGAGATGCTGATAGCATGACTTTTACAAACGACGTGCGAAATGAAAATGAGAGATAAAATGTGCGGTATCGAGAGACAAACAAGCTCAAGTAATACCAAAGTAGGGGAAATTTTGAAAAACGTACGTTTAGTCGTTGATTTTGATGATCAAGGGCGTATATATCGAATCAAGAAACTTTGTATTGTTTATTAAATTACCTCTATTTTTTTGCAACTTGATATGAAGCATTTCGGAAATGAGTCTTTTATGATAAAATTTTTTACTATCACGGATTTCAACATCATTTCAAAGAAAATCCCTGAATCGCTACGGTATTTACTAACCACTGATTGGTGGTCATAATTTAGCAAGGGAAACACCAGAAGTGGTTATCGTGAAATTTGATGCCAATTGTTTTGGTGGTTTTATAAGTCAAAAAAGTTGTTCCGTGTTGTTCGGCCGTTTGTTCCAATGGGCCTTAGTTTTCAAGTTT